CAGGAAATAATATGCATAAGAGCAGAATTGATAAAAACACTGTGAAACATTCTGAATTTGAGAAAAAGCTAAAATGTGTTTTTGGAAGATTCTGGGAGCTCGCTTAGTGTTAGCAAGGTGCTTTGCAGGCCGAGTGATTTGCATGCGCTGCTCAGGCCTAGAAGGGCGTTGAGAGGTCTTGGATTCTCCCTGCGTGCTGCACAGTTTAGTGCCTGAGCCCAGCATAGCGCCTACACTCAGAGAGTAGGAAACAAATCGGACAAACATTTCACACTGTCGGAAATGTTCTGAATGAGCCTGTTCTCCATTCTTACCGCCACGTTTTATCTCACAAACACTTTTTCTTTTCTCGCTGTTACAGGGGTTGTTTAAAGTATGAGTCTGTCACCGGACTATGAATGGAAACTCTGAGGTTTCCAGACGTTGTTTCCCTGTTTCCATTCTGCAGTATGGATGCTTCTCCCCCACTCCCCGCTCCTGGCCTTGTGTCTCTGTTAGGTGAGGCTTAGTTTTCTGAGCTCTAAAATAGGGGAAACACAGGGAACTGTTGTACTGCAATAGTTCGGGTGACATTCCCAAGTCATGGAGGCAAACCCCTTCCATCTTTATTCTGCAGATTTTGATCCAATGGACAAATAGCCTTCTCCTCCTTTCATGGAACATTTTTTGCATGTGCTCTGTTCATGACATGTGACATCTCTCACTGGAATAAAAGATACCCAGTGGATCTTGTCCTCAACAAGTTTAGTGTCCAGAAAAATAGAACCTGAGATAGATATGCCTTTAGAATGAGGTTATTTTGTAGATGAGGCCAAGAGTTAGGCTCTATGTAATAATGTTTGTGCAATTGCAGATGTAGGGGACAGAGTCTTTGTTTTTGCCTCTCCTATTGTCTTTGCATTATCCCCAAAACTCCTCCAATAGAACATGTGTTTTACAGCTAATGTTGTAAAGCACACTTGGTTCATTGTACTGGAAAGTTTCACACCCAGAGGTAATGATACAATTACTTGTGAGGAAATGAATACTTTGGGTTCCACTTTTACTAAAATGAAAAAAAAAAAAAAATAAGACCGGAAGATGATATATTTAAAAAAATTGTATATGCACCTTTAGGCAGATCAGATTTAAAGAATACAGGAAAGAAATGGAAACTTTGCAATGTATTTTTTCAAATACTTTTGCAAAAGCTTTGCATGCCCACAGTTTTGAATTTGCCCTGTGATTTTTTTTCCATGTGGAAGTCCTAGGTGGATAGGAAATAGCAGTTGAGACTTTTGACCTTGACAAATAGTGCGAAGAAAATAGAGATCGAAGTGATGAGGTTGCAGGTTATGTACTTTCTTCTCTGAGGGAAGAAAAAGTAGGGTTGATACTAAAGGGAAAAAGGCAGACCAGCTCAATTAGAAATGAGATACATGTCTTTAGCATATATATATTATTTTCAGCCCTGTATGTACTTAACTATTACTAATACAAACTTTTAACTATATTAAACATTTAGCTATATTTCATTTTTGTCCTTTAAAGCTTCTCTCTCAAACTAATGGCTATTTAGAAATAAATGACCTCTTATCATTTGCAAACACTAACTACATTTTTGGCTTTTAAAAGATATGCAATATAATGACAACCCTTGATCTGAGTCCCTAGCAACAAAGGGGGGGGGCTTCTGTTAAGAAGAGAAGGAAAAAGAAAGGTAGAGGAGGATGAGACTATGGAGAAAAAAAAATATTGGGGCCTTGTTCTAGCCCAAGTCTTCTAAAGGGGTAGATGGGGACTGCTTAAATAAGAGGCAGGTGGTGTAATTGTAGCCCCCCCCCCAAAAAAAAGGTCAAAACCCTCTACTGGAAGTCAGAATTCTCTGCAGGTTGAGACAAACAGCCTCTCCTGACAGCCCCTATTTATTTGGTTTTCAAACAGAGAAAGAGCATCTGTAGGCAAGTGGGGAAACTGGGCAGGACCTTAGCAGTCAGTTCAAAGAACACTCCAAGTAGTAAATTTTACCATTTAAGAGAACTATCTTATCGCTAAGGTGGTAGCTTTATTGCTGGAATAGGAATGTTGGCAGCCCATGTCCTTGGTTGCCTCAGCTGTGGTTATCTTGACGTTAGAGCACTATGTAAATGCTCTTTTCTAGCACAGCAAGAGGTCTCTGTGTTCAGCAACTTATCCCCACACAGCCCCCCGCCTCCAAAAGGAGCAGAAAAAGAAGAGAAAGACCAACTCCCGCTGTAACATAGGTGCCTACTGCATACCTTCTGGTAAAAGAGCTGAGAGTCATAATTTCTGCTGTCAATATCTGTAACCCTACATATACAAACAAAGGTGCCTTTCTTTGGTAGATAAAACATGTATATACACACACACACACTCACACACACGTGCACGTGCACACTCACACACGCACACGTGCACACTCACACACGCACAGACATAGATTACCAAGAAAAACTGTTGCATTGGGAGAAAAGGAATTTTAAACTAAAGTCAGTAAGGAAGTGTATCACTATAAATTAAATGGTGGAGAAACAAATAAGAAAAACAAGGAAGGAAGAAAAGAAATAAGGAAGGAAGAAAAAGATGGAAAGAATTGGTGCTGTCTCTAAAGGAATGTAAAGATGTTAACAGGACTCTAAGACCTTAGCTGGGTGTTTGTAAATCAAGGTTAGCTTGGCAGGGAACTAATATAGCAAGACAGCTTTTAATACTGTTGATAGCTTCGATCAGGTGGCTGGGGAGTTGAGACTCTTAAAGCAATCTTTGAGGATTAGTCTTCTAATCTTAACAAGTTAACTTCTTTAATTGGCTCAGAGATTTATTTTTCAGAAGCAGGTACTTTCTAGTAAAACTAGTTAACCACAAAAAGAGTAGTGTTACTGGTTCTAGTATTGCTTAATCTAGTATTATTGATAAAGTTTTCCTTAATTTTTTTGGACTGAGAATTAAACCCATGACCTTGCACTTACCAGGCAGGTGCTGTATTGCTGAGCTGTAGCCCTAGAGCCTTAATGTTAAAAAGGGAATATTCAGAAAATACAGTAAATTCCTTATTTATGATATAAAGGTAAACACGTTTAGGATTACCATTTACTCATTTAATCAGAAAAATGGTTAGTTGCCATAATCAGTTCAATAGAGAAACAGGAAAAGTACAAATACTTGTGGAGTTATGGAATCAAATTGCACATGGAGGCAAAAGGAGTTTCTCTAGCAGAGAGGGAAGTCAGTCTGCACACTACTGGATGAGTTGGGTGTGGTGGCATATGCCTGCAATCCCAGAATGTGAGATGCTGAAATAGGACCACAAGTTTGAGGCCACCTTGAGCACAGATTCTATCTTAACAGCATCAGAAAAAATGTAGTCAAAATAAAAAACAACAGTGAAGACACTATCCTGGACTAGACTGCATTTGCAGGTCTATTGGCTAGATAAAAAGAAAAAAAGCCTAGAAATTAACAATTCAGAAGGATATACTGTAAGGAGACCCTGTAAACTTTCGTATTCAAGCATGTTTTGTGCTTCATCAGGATTCTGTAAGAATACCTTTCATTCAAACTCTCTACTTCTATTATCATGCATCTGTTGCCTTAACTTCAAATCTATGAGTGTCTTTACCAAGTGCTTGGTGAGAGAATGTCTACCAAGTGTCGGATCTACACTTCTAGCTTCTGTCAAAGAGGAAAAACAAGATCAATCTGAAGTCTCACCCTTCTGATGGGTGGACAGTTCCACATCCTGTAGACATGAATTAAACTTTAAATAATTTATTATCACAGTCCCAGTTTTATTGGCAAATTATGACAGTTTACTCACAGCCACAATGAGAAAGCAAGATGAAGACATCCCTGAACTGGAACCAAGTAGACTATCTAACACAACAAACTCTCCAAGAAGATGTGTGGCTTGACTGACAGCCAAGACTCAGCTGAAAGAGCATCAGAAGTGCCCAGTGGGAACAGCAATTACACCAAGCTTACCCCAAATCACACAGCCAGTTAGCCACAGATCCCATATTGAAATGCTGGCCTACTTCCAAATGCATGTACTTTTCAACTTGTCTCTCACATTCTTTTTCTTCTCTTTTGTTACAAACCTGATATCTTCTATACTAACAAGAATCTAGGCAGAGCCAAAGGATACCTCCTAATACTTTAATCTGGCTGCTTCTAGCAAAGCGTCTGAGTTAGGCCTGCTTCATTTCCAACCAGAAGGCCACTGTTTGAGAATCTTGACATATTTCAAAAATCCAAACAGTATCCATTCATATCAATTATAGAACCAGTCTACTCACCCCTTATGAAAGAAAAATGTACTGTGTGATTTAAAAGATGGTTTTATTCATTCTATAGCAGTGGAAAGGATGCTGATCCATGAAGAGAGTTTTGAAGGAAAGGAACCTGGGGCTTTATAGAGAAGACAGACAAGGGAAGAATCCAAATGATCTGTTAGTCAATGAGAGTGTGAAGGGAGAATGGCACCCAGTACTATCCTGGGACACACAAGAGCAGAGTGATCTTCGTGATTAGCCATTTTCCAGCATTCAGAAGGCTGAAGCAGTGTTTAAGTTAATACAGTTTCGGGGCTCATAGCTCAGGTCAAATTCAACATTGTTGCTACTCACCATCTTCTCTTCCCTAAATTCCAGTGGAAAAGATTCCCAAACACTACAGTTTTGAGTGCCTGCTGGAGATTTCATGGTCCTAATACGTTTTTCTCCCAACTCCTCTTGCAGTCTCATTATTTGTAATGAGCCATCAGAGACAGGCAATGTTCATTAAGTCTGATAAGTGAAAAGAGGTTTTCTATCACAGCTTTGCTGGATTTCCTTGTTGAGCATATCAGGTCTTCATGATGCTATTATTTTCTAAAGTACCCCAGCTACTAGTATTTATATTTTGGGGCCAAGTCAGAAATCACTATCTTTTCAGATGTTCATGCTTAGCTCTCTGCCATATTATTCCACTATATTTTAGAAGCAGGTGCTTTTACTTTATAACCTAAGTGGTGTTAATTGGAATGGCAGATCCAAGTGAATGTGAGATGTGATTGGAACTTCTCTCTGACTTTCAGATTCTCAGAAAGTTGAACACTGAGACAGAAGTAAAGAGGGGGGTAGAAATCTACTTGCAGGTCTCCCTTACCTGAAGGGTTCCATCTTTGAAGAAGAGGGAGCTTCTCATTAGACTACCACGGTAAGTGGGACCTTAGCTTTGAATTACATATTCTACCTACATGAATTCTATTAGTGATGCCCAAAGAATTCAAAATTATGCTCAGAACAAAAATAACTGCACTTAGGTTGTAGATTTTAGCATAATATCTTATTACCATTTTGTATCTATTTCATACTTTTAGGAAGATATTATTTAGAAAGCTATCTGGAATTTTCAGTTTTTTATAGTTAGAGAGATTGCCTAGATAACACGTCTGAGATATTACCAAAAATTCAGCTTCTACTAGAAGTTCAAAGAGGTATAATAGTGCCACTGAGTCACAGAATACCCTTGGTTCCTAAAAAACAAACAAACATAGCCCATATTTGCTTACAGTAATAACTATAACATAACAGAATAAAACATGAGTTAGGATAGGCTTCAGGAGTAGTTTGATCAGAGCTTTCTTTCTTTCTTTCTTTCTTTCTTTCTTTCTTTCTTTTTGTCAATCTTTCCTTCTTTCTTCTTTTTTTCCTTTCTCTAATTTAATTGATTCTTAAAGCCAGGCATGATGGTGCACTCCTGTAATCCCAGCACTTTGGAGGCAGGAGAGTCATTTGCAAATTTGAAACCAGCCTAGGTTATAAAGTGAGCCCAAGGCCAGCCTGAACCACCTAGTGAGACCCTGTCTAAAAAGACCAAAAAAAAAAAAAAAAAAGTCCTTGCTATTTATCTGAATATGCAGAAGTCATTGCAAGGAAAAGTATTAACCTTGTAGTTCTAAATCAAAGAGCACTGATTCTAAGTGCTAGAAAGGTATATATCTCATGTTTGTATTTAAATAAAGTATCACAAGGGAATATTTTTCCTTAATTGCTGAATTCACACTCAGCACAATGTGTTCTTTAAATCCTAGCACAATTTGAGATAGTCTTTTGGATGAGGCATCAAGCTCTGAAGTACTTGATTACTCTGAAGTACTTGATTGAAGTACTTGATTAAAATACACAAATATTTTGCAAATGAATGAATAAAGAAGGAAAGAATCAGTCAAAGAAAAGATACTCCACTTCTATCCTGCTTTTACAATTTAAAACTGTATTCAGGGGCCGGGAATATATCCCAGCAGCACAGCACCTGTCTGACAAGTGCGAGGTCATGAATTTGATCACCAGTACCAAATGCAAACAAAACAACAAAAAGTATTTTTAAAGGAAACTTAAGATGCATTATTGGTTTTATATATGTGGGATCATTAAACAGAACCTGAGCCTTTACTGTCTGAGGGGAGTGAAAGTACAATGGGTTGGGAATTTCAAATCTTATACAGTGACTACATAGAGAGACCTGAGACATATCAGTTCATCGCCCTGAGCCAGGTTGCACTTCTGAGATGGCTGATGCCTTTTGTGTCAAATATTAGAACATCCTCAACTTTTCAGGATGCCTGGGATTGTAATAGGGTACAATTCTTATAGGAAAGTATGCTCTTTTTCATTGTACTTTTCCTATTTCAAACTGCCAAACAGTGGAGAATGTGGCTTCACTGTCAATGAAGGTTGCTATGGGTAACAAGGACCTATGCTCCTAAAGCGTCAGGGTTTATCATTAGCTTAGAGTTTGCTGTTGAAAAAAGAGAATTACTATAATGAGCTCTTCTACATGCAGTCAAGCTGAAGGAATGAGAACTGCATGCTGGTTACCTAGAGACTCCTCGTTACCTTAACAGTCTTGTTTATGACTCTACTCACAGGTTTTCAGAGCCCGAATATTTCACAGAGTCTCAGAAGGCCTGTTCTGGTTATCAACTGTTGAGTGACAAACTGCTGTAAATGTAATAGTTAGGGAGAAATGACTGTTTTTCCCTGTTCTCTTTGACAGCTCTGGGTGTATAGTTCAGGTAGTTAGTTCTTTCTCAGGGCCCAAGTTATTGTGAAGCTTTTTTTCTCATGTCCTGTGAAGTTTCAGATACAAAAGCCCTGGAATGGTTGTGCTATCTCAGAAATCTCTCTCTGGGTTCTCTGCAGCACTCCATCTTCAGGGTAGTTGATTGCTTATGTGAAAGCTTAACTCTCAAGAGTATAAACACTGAGAGAGAGCTGTGAGGATGACAGCTGCCTTCTATGACCAGCATCATGAGGCAGCATTATTACTTCCATTGTACTGTATTATTCAGAACTCAGGTATTGAAGGCGTTATTTGAGATGTGAAAACTGACCTGAACTTGATGGCCAGAATGGTTTGAATAATGTTGCCCCCTGCAAAATGAGTGTGATGGAAACTTAACCCGATAAACCATGTTAGGAGGTGGGGCCTGATGGAGTGTAGAGCCCAGGAAGGCTGCACTCCAAACAACTGAGTCCTGTCAGTATAGAAAGGGTTTATGGATTGGGTTTGCTCTCTTCTCGTCTTCTGCTTCCTGTGGCCTGAATGTGCCTATTCCCTGGAGTAGAAACCATTCAAGGGATCATCTGGGAAGCAGCATGCAGCCCTCATCACACAATGGAACTGGGTTTTGATATTAGACTTCTCAGCCTGGTGAGAATGAATCTCTGCTCCTTTTTAATTACTCAATCTCAAATGTTCTGCGATAGCCACACAAAATAGATTAAGAAATCTGGAACATCGTAATTGTGAGTATATCTTAAAATACCTATTCAATCATGAGGAATTCATTATTTACAAGAGTCTCACATCCAATGCAAAATAACTACTGGAGGTAGAGAAAGTTTCAGCTGTGAACAGTTCCCTATTTTACTAGGAATTAGCATAGTGATTTATGAGAATTAAGTACCAGAGACATTTGGGAAGTGGGGATAACAACCCTGTGGAAAGGAAGAGAGGTCACCAGAGTAAACAAGAGGAAGTAAAGAGCCTGCTTTTAGTACAGCTGTCGAAAGACAAACTGAACAGAGAGTCGGCAGGACTTCCTGAGCCAGCACCTGCTGTGCCACCAGCCCTTCAATGAAAGGTGGGCTGAAAGGTCACTGTCCCTCTGTGGCATCTGTCTCATCGTTAGTAAAATATGTCATTGAAATAGGTAATTTCTAAGTCTCCTTCTGGCTCTGACATTTCATAATCTCATCACTACTGCTTTAAAAGCTGAAATATTTCTTTAATAGGCAAGAAATTAACCGTCTTAACCATTGGCTGCCAATGCATCTGTGCCAACGTTTAATAGGGTGAGATGAGTTAATAATGGTACAAGGCACCACAGCCAGGAATGTCAGCAGGGGTGACAGCAGCTTCCACCTCAGGAGACAATGGGAAATAACAGTTGGCATAATTTTTTTTTTTTTTTTAACAATTCAGACGAGACAGAAATGAAGAAATGCTTCTTACAGGTCTTCTTCACTGAAAAAAGCCAGAAAACATCATGTTGCTTTCTTTCAGTGTTCAAATGCTGGCTGCCACTTTGAGCACAGTAAAGACAAAAGTGTAACTGAAGGGTTAGTACTTTGATCAGGAAAGGGAGGGCTCCCTGATCCAATGACCTATTGTTTCTACGTGTGGCTCTTAGTGAATCTGTGGCTACAAAAAGTGTAGAAAAAAACTTGTATATCATTGAAAAATTATGCACTGTATACAGCACATCATTTTGGACAGTTTGGTTTCAAAGCCTGTTCACTGTCTTGGAGCTATTGGAAAATAGCTCATAAATTGCAGATAACCAATGGATGTGCAAACTGTCTTGTCAAGCACAATTTCGAAGGACTTCTCTCCCCTCCATGGGAAAGTTCTTGTGTGTTCACTTGAAGTTTTGTTCCTGTACTCTAGGTGTCTGTGCTTTTTAAAGTTTCCTTTGAGTCAGTTCCTTTAGGTCGTGTGAATTTCATGAAATCTTGAATATATGTTCATTCTTATACGTGTGTGTCCTGGTTTTGCTGTTTCTTGAAAATTGTCTTTTTAGGTAATGTTAAATCTGTACTTGATTTAAAATGATCATTAGAGAGAGATATAAAATGTTTTCCATTAGAAATGAAAAAGATTTTGGAATGGGGGGAAATGACAGCTTTCAAAGAGGAGAAAACAAGAATCCCTAGAATCTTGGGAAGTAGTGGAGATCCCAAACACTGCCGCTAACATGAGGTCAAGAGAGGGAAGAGGGGAAGAGGATGTGGGTGTAGGAATGTGCTGAGGAGCAGACATCTACCAGCAAAAGGGAATGAAAGAACTTGAAAGCATTTGTGTGTACTGTTAAATTACATTCCTCCGTATTTTTCTCCCCTAGGAATGCTTTTGTATCTCCTCAAGAATTTGGCCACAAACAATTATATCCAAATATTGGCAATTATAACTAACACAGAGAGCAATGAAGCATAAAGATATTATTTTTCATTTCAGAAGCAATTTGATCATAGTACCTGGGCCATAGGGCAGAAAGGGCATAGAAGGTAAAAAAAAATCTAGAAAATCAGAAATCTCTTGCCTTCAAAACTTATAAAAATATTTAGGAGGCATCAGCGAGTACAAAGTGAATGACCTTGGGATATTCCACAGCGATAGTGAGGATAATGGTAACCTCAGAAGGGTACAGAGTGTGCTGATATGAAGGGATCTAACATTTAGCTTATTGCAATAGCAGATTTTCAGTTTCAGTATGACATTTCAGGCAACATTTCCGCAGGACTATTAGAAAGTCTGGGAAAGTTACTTTTTAAGGTCTGTTTGAAGATATCAAACAGTTGTAAAGAGTGACTGAGCTGAGATCCAGGACACGTTGAAATGCAGAGAAATAAATACGGTTTTGAAAACTCCTTAGCTCCTGAGGCAGTAGATGATTCCAGGAAAGAAATAAGCACAGCACATATAATAGTCTCCCAGGGCCAGGGTGTCAAAGGTTTTCCAGGGTGGGGCAAACCTCAAAAGGTTGTGTACTAGGAGACTAACACAGGAGCCAGCCAACCTAACCCTACGGTTCAGGTTTGGGTGACTTAGAGGCTCAAGACAATTAAGTATTGTTTTGTTTTGTTTTTATAGCACTGGGAATCAAATCCTGGGTCTTGTCCATGCTACTCAAGCTCTCCAGAACTGAACTTTGGGCTTCACCATTGATGTGTGAAATACGATCAGGTTAATTGTGTTGTTGGTGGCCCCAGGCATCAAGTAGGGACAAAAGATATTCTCTCCCAAAGAAGATAATCATCCAATATCTCAAAATTTTTGAAAACTAATTTCTATAGTATAGTTTCTTAGCAAACTACCAAAAGATTTCCCTAATCGAATAAATGTCATCTACAAAAAACAAATACACGATAAAAAGCTATAAGAAAAAGAAAGCTGCAGAAAAAATGGTGTAAGTTTACATTAGTCATACATGAATTATTTCCAGTTTAATTTAACAAGCTATATATGATTTTTAATTAATAAGGCTTTATTATTCTCTTGTGATCAAACATCTGGAGGTAGGTAGATGATGTCCCGTGGGTCAGAGGTTCAAAGAATTTAGAACCAGGGCCTCTGTTCCTTGGAAGAAGGTAGTGATCACACTATGACTGGGAACACAGATTCTACCTTTGTCTCAAATTCTGACTCCACTATTTCTTATTCATGTGATTTAGACAAGCCATGTATCTATGAAATAGTTCCTATCCTGAAGATAATTGCAATGATTAAAATATGGAAGCACTCAGAATAGCACCTGGCATTAACATTAGCTGCAGCTATGGGTAGAATTGTGTTCCTTTAAAATTTCTGTCTTGAATCTCAGAGGTGGAGCCCTTGGAGATAATAAGATTTCAACATGACCCAAGGGTTCAGCTCCACCCAGTGGAATTAGTGCTGTTACAAGAAAAGATCAGAGAGCTTTTCCTCCATCTGTTTGTCTGCCTGTCTGTACCTCTCACTTATTTTTGACATGAGAGGACACAGCAAAGTCTCCCCAGGAATGCAGTTTCTGGCGCATTGACCTTGGGTTTCTTACCTTCAAGACTGTAAATAACTCTCTATCTTTGAAGTCCACAGCCCATGGTAGTGTGTTAGAGAAGCCCAGGTGCATTGTTATTCATGTTATTTTTAAACTTTTGGTCATTAATGTAGATGTAGTTATATCTATTAGTGCAGATTAATAAAGGAGCAAAGGAAAAAGGGTTATTTGAGTTGTCTCACACTGTTTTCTTAGGAAACTGATACTTCCCTTTGCATCTCTTAAAACAAACAAACAAACAAACAAACACTTTTACATGTTTTGGGGCAACACTGAGCCTGACTCTGAACCAAACATTGGACAGAAGAAGGAGAGTAACACTGGTTCATTCTTAGAGCAGCCGTAGGGAATTTAGGTCAAGATTCTGTTAGTGGAGGTGTGGTAGAAAGAGCACAGAGAAGACAAATGTCAGTCTTCCTGCGGGCTGCAGGTTTGTCTTTGCTCTATAAGAAAAACTTTGTGGACAGTTTTTTTTTTTTTTTTTTTTTCCTTCATGGTTATTCGATTTCTTCTGGTTATTCGATTCTGATTCTACTGGAGCTATTTCATGTCTCTACAAATAATAAATCACTGAAAACAATGCAAAGTTTATATGTCTCTAGACATGTAAATAAATTCTGTACGCTGGTGTATTTTCTCTCTGAAAAACTGTTTGTTTCCAATTTCCCCATTTCAGTATTCCTGAAAAATAAACCTGTCTGTTCCGTAGATCCACCTTTGAAAGGATTATAATTTCATGCTAGTCTTTTATTATTACCTCAATTAAAATCATTAAAACTTTAATCTTTTCATAACTGCATGGTGATGACTCCCTAGAAAATTATACTTAAAAACCAGAAAGTGCTCAATATTTTAAGCACTGTGGTTTATTTGCCTATTTATATTTAATCTTAGGTAAAAACATCATACTAAAACATATTGGTAGTTCAATAACTATTTCATTAATGGATGAATATATGGAAGAGTGTGTGGTACTCACTTTCTAAATACAACAAAGATCCATTGCAAAGTTATTGTTTTTAAATTGCTGTGCTTGATGAGAATAGTTTAATAATATGTAATTCCTTTTTTTCATTTTGACTTGTTATCTGCAAATAATATCGTACTGTGTAAATCTCTTCAGAAAGAGAAACTTTTCCCAAAATTAATATGTGTTTATTACCTGAGATAAGCTAACTTCTACGTGACTTTTAGTTTATAAAATAATTTATGAGTTCGAGGAAAGTTAATGTGGTATGTAGAAGGAACAAGGCTTGGTGTTGTTGACTTGCATTATTGACTTTCTTTATTTTTAATAAAATAAAAGCATGATTATTTTAACCAAATTTAGAAAAATGTATAAAGGAAAACTTAATAATGTCTTTTCCCAAGCCTCACATACTCCAATTAGCAGAGTTAGAAATTTTATGTATACTTTGCATGCTTTTCTCTAGAGATAGGTATAGGATTTTATTTAAAATGTTTATGTCTTTGGATGTGTAATTTTCATCAGGTTTATTAGTGCACCTCAAAGTTAGTCTTCTTGTTTGTAAAAGGAAGATCAAGAACTGACTGAAAAGGTTTACGATAGGATAACATAAATATTATATCTAAGTAAAAATTACACAGCGTAATGTCCAGGTCACTTATACAAACAACAAAAATTATCCTGAAACAAAATGTTTGGGCTTAAACTTCTTGGTAATTGTAAGTACTCTTTTATTTTGCCTCTTTATAGAGTCATAGCTATCCTTTTACATTATGAGAATATCCTAGGATGGAGAGATTGGACCATAAATGATGCACAACCTCAGCAGCACAACCTCAGAAGCAACAAACATGGAAACAGAGTTAGTGCTGCAGACCACAAACTCTGCAGCAGGGGGCCCAGAACAGTGAGCATCTGGTCCATGACTGACAGCTTTCCTATACATCGCTCCGCGTTCCAGTTGAGGACCAACCAGACGGAGTCCAATGCAGTCTTCAAATGAACCACGTGTGATGCTTCACATCTTGTCAGCTCTTGTCAATCTTTCCCTAACCAGCAACCATGTAAGACTTCCATGTTTTTCCTTTATAGCTTCCTCACTCCCTGTCACCTGCTTTTGAGGCAGCTGATGGTGGCTGATTCCTTTGACATAGAAAGCTGAGGATAATAAAACCCAAAATGTGTAAATTTTGTTGTAAAAAAGAGAAGGAAAAAAAGTGTTCTAAAAGATACAACAGCAAGTATGTTTAGGGGTGTTAAATAGCTGACCATATTAATGTTTTTGGTTGGATCATTGAACACAACTGTTTGCAGTCTCACTGTTTGAATGTCCACTTTGTATGCTTTGATACTGTGACTTGAGCAACTATCTCTAAGATGATAATATGTAATCTATTCACTGGTGATTTCTTACTGTTTTTTTTTTTTTTTGTAGTTCTGTATTACTTGTACCCTTACACAGCTTTGTTTTGTTTTGTTTTTTTCTCTTTTTCCTTTTAAACAAAATTTTAAAAAATGCAAAAAAAAAAAAAGAAAGAAAGCTGAGGATAAATTAGTCTCTGTTCTAATTTTGCTGGTCTTTGCTTATTTCCTCAAGGTATATATCTTTGGATGTGAGTGCCCAAGAAAGAGAGAAAACTGTGATTTTCAGCACTTTGCATGTCTTAAATATAAAGGAATGATTACAAAATTTTTTCTTGGGGGCTGATATCACAGGAAGAATGAAAAAGAAACAGATCTGCAGGAAGCAAAGCAAAGCTTGCAAGCAGTTGGGAAACAATCTGGAGAAGAGGAATGAATGCTTTTGTTGAGAACAAGGTGGATTCCATTATATCATTCTTTCTCAATAAACATAAATCAGAGTCATAAACATAAAGACAATGCAACAGTGATGCTGAGAAGTGATAAAGAATATACATGTATATGTATATGTATATGTATATGTATATGTATATGTATATGTATATGTATATGTATATGTATATGTATATATGCAATAGATGTGTGAAACAAGGCAAAACAGCCAGTGCCACAAAACTGGTGACCCTAAGCCACTATTGCAAGTATACTCATCGGCCTTTGCCGAGACATTGGAATTTCAGCTTCCCCACAGTGTAAAAAGTTTGCTTTGCAGAAAAAAGAAATAGGTTGAAAACAAAGTAAAAAATTTTCAAAAAATTCTGACAAATTTTAGCTAAATTCCTTGTGTTACTAAACTCTTTACTTAAGGATCAAAGCAAAGTGATAATTAACTGAGTCATTTTCAGGTGAACGATAGAATAGACACTGTTCAGAGGTAACGTTAAAAGAAAGATAAAACAGACACATTGACTGAACACAAGTGAAAGGCTTTATTTTACTCATGATAGGTGAGAATAAGGTGGAGGTATAACCTGTTCAAAGCAAAAATCAAATATCACAGATTCATATGAATAAAAGAAATTTGAGATTAGTTGTAAAAGGAACAAAACTATTTTTTTTGTCTATAGATAGAACAGGAATGGATGAGAAATAAATCATGTCATTACCTGACAGAAATGTGTACAATATACATAAATAAAAAATATAATATATGTGCACATGTACATACTTAAATTCAATGAATGTAGTTAGACTCTGGTAACCCAGAGGGTACTTAAAGACAATGCATAGTTTTCTACTGAAAGAAAAAATTGTTCTGCAATATGCAATTTCGCGAGGGAAATTTAGAGGCTAATTAGAAGCAGAAATCCAACAATCCTTGGAAAGCCGCAGCATAATATGAGGTTGATTTCCATTTCACAGCTGGTGTGATTGTGGGAAAATCACTAAGAATATTTAAGCACTGCAAAATCTAACATGCCACTGAGACCTGTGTGAGAGGACTATATTTCAGCCCCAGGTACCTAAAACGTAATTCATTTCCACTACTCATGCTGCCATTGCTTCCCTGTCCAGGTGTGCTGTTTACTTTTTATACCGGAGGCTCTGAAACTTCCCTTCAGTGATCCTGGCTCACTCTTCATGAGCTGAGATGTGATTTCTGTGCTGAAGATTCAAGGGTGACAGTACTTAGTGCTTTCTCATATGATACTAGCTACTTCTCTATGTCTCACTTGAGCTGAGCTGCAAAATATTTTAAAAATATGTTGAAATCCCTGGGAGAGAAAGTGCTGCAGAGATCTGCTTATGCCAATGTCTAATCTTTATACTGCTTGTTTTTCAGTTTTAACAGTGTTCATTTGCTAGTTCTCAAGCAAGCAGCAATACAACATGCAAACATGTTCCAAGCTCTGTAAGCAAGCACTTTCGGTTAGTGGAACAAAATGAGGATTACCTCCCTGGGTGTGGTGGCACTCATCTGTAATCTCGAGCCCTTTGGAGGCTGAGGCAGGAGGACCACAGTGAGTTCTAGGCCAGCCTGAGCTACATAGTGAGTTCAAAATCAGCCTACATGGTGATACCTTCCCTCAAACAAAACAAAACAAAACAAAACAGGATTTTGGGAGCAGGTTGAAGGATAGAGTGTAAAAGTTTTGTGCCTAAAAAGCTTTATCTTGGAGCAAAATCGTACTTAATAGAGTATAGAAGCATGCCATAGGAATTATATGCTGCTGGCCAAGAGGTAAGTATCTTTTATAAGGTTTGGGTGGCTGCTGAAGTATCCTTAGGAAGGTCCCATTTCTGGGCAGGATAAGGTGAGATTCTGTGCTGCCATGATGTGAAAAAGGCTTAGGGGCTGGGGATTTAGCTCAGCGGCATAAGCACCTGCCTTGTAAGCAGGCAGTCATGAGTTCGATCCCTGGTACCGATAAAAACGAAACACACACACACACACACACACACACACACACACACAAATACAATAAAAGAAAAAGGCTTAGTAAGCGGGTATCACCAGCAAAAGAAATAACAGAAGGTCAAGATTCATTCTGGATAAGAAGTCAGTGATCACTCAAATAAGGGGTTACTTTGGAATTACAGATGTCTCAGAAGTACACTGTGACTACTTCAAAGGAAACAGCCCGAATACTAATGTGTATTGATTCCTGCTTCCTTTTCTGCGGTGCCAACTCCAAATGGTCCTGTTAGCTTTCTTCCACAAGCAGGACTTGAAAGAATCCTCAGGAACAGAGACAGCTTTCAAACAGTGTTGGAGGTGATTGAGGTGTAGAAAGCGAATCATATTTCTAAGAAACAGTGAAACAAAAAAGAAATATTTCATATTGAACTACAAAGCACGATTCTCTGGTGTTCCTAAAATGGATTTTTTTTTTTTTTTTTTTTTTTTTTTTAGTAAATTGAGCGTTTTTGTCAGATGCTTTGGATTTTTCTGAAGGTGGAAAGCTGAAGTCAGTCTAGGGGATTCAGGGACAGCAGAAGGAGAGGGAGATATAGTACAAGGAAATATAATTTTGCCAAGTAGTGAGACTTGCTGACCTGGAATTTTGGATCTTGGTTGGCATGATTTTATATTGATACCTCCCAAAAGCCTCAGGTACTGACTGGTACTTTTGGAAGGTGACTGGGTTATAGGGGTATAGAGCTGGCTTGCTATTAGAAAGTGGGATCTGGTCAGAAGGGGGTGTCCCTGAGGGTGTGGCCTGGAAGCACTTCACTTCTTCACTCTCTCCTCACTGGCTCTCTGCTCCCTGGTTGCCTCCAATTTACGCTTCCATCTTTCTGTCCTGCTTTGGAGCCAGCAAATTATGGACTGAACTGTGTGCGAGTCACAAGAAAACTTTTCTTGAGCCAGAGATGTAGTTCACTGGCACAGCACTCCCTAGTAAGCACACGGTCCTGAATTTGATTTCTTGCACAAAAAAAAAAAAAAAACCTTTTTGAACTTTAAATTAAGAGTATTAATTATTTTGTCCCAGCAAGAAGGAAAGCAACTCAGATGCCTATTCTGAGGAGTAGAGATACGTGTACAAGAGGTACAAACTTTAACCAGAGCCCAGTCTATCGTTGGTGTGTGTGTGTGTGTGTGTGTGTGTGTGTGTGTGTGTGTGTGTGTTTGAGAAGAAGAGTTTGGTACAAAACTTAGTAAGTGTGCTGCAGTACTCAGACTTGTTTTGAGCACTTTAAGTATCCAGAGGAGAGTTAATCTGCTTTTTCCCTCACAGAAGTGTCCTTTTGATATTCACTAAAATCCATTTTGAACAGAAAAATTACAGAGCATGAATCTCCATATACTAGTGAAATTTTGTGTCATCTCTTTTAGTTGGACACTTTAAGGGACCATAAGGATATGATAACCAACTGCTGTTCGCCTTTGCAGGGTCGTCCCCCTCAGTTCCAACTTTGTAACTGATTGATTTCATATATACTTAGCCCTGTGAAAAGTCACCTTATCCCTTGCCCACAGACAGGGCTCATAATCCCTACCACAAATAAGGATGGAAGGAGAAAAGAAATTCATAGATAAACTTTGTAGACATATGCTCTTCACTATTGCTGATTTATTGGAATAAATAAACAAGTTTGCTCATCTTATGCTGACTTTTTTACTGTTAAAAAATGAGGAAACACAACAAATTAGATCCTAAGAGAATAGAAGCTTGGAAATAATATAGTAAGGATGGACATAGATGAAGTAGAAAATAAAATAGAGCCTATTAGAGAAAATTTTAAAACCAAAAGTTGGTACTTTGGAATGATCAGTAGATGAACTTGAACCGACATTGATTTAGAATAAAAATAAAAAGTAAATTATTAGTATTATAAGTGAAAGGGTTGGCTTCCATTTGCTTGTTTGCAGGATACTGAGTTATCAGGACATACAGTGTGGTGACTGTTCATGAGTTACTTATCAACTTTGTTCTCCTATGCATACCCTCGCCTCACTATTTTTGTGGCTCAGTTTTACCAACAGGTGGAGCCACTTTGCTAATGGGCTAAGTGTTAAAAAGATGAATACCCAGGTGGAATTCTGTCTCTTACAGTGAAACTAGGGAGGGTAAGCACCTAAGTAACTTTTGATGACACTGAGTAAAAACTTCAGCCCCACCAGTTTGGGATAAAGAGATTTTTTTTTTTTTTTCATATGGCTCAACCCCCTAAGCACAGGTCTCTTCTTTAGGAGAAGGGGCAAGGCTGTTTGTAATGCACTACCAGGTGTAATCAAAACATACAGTAAAAGTTTAAACTTTTAAAATATATTGAAAGATACATTGCCATTAGCTCTCCTCAAAGCACTGCCCGCTGACTTTGCACACTTAAATAGTTCTTGCCACTTTCTGAAGCGGTTCACAGTTCCTGGTTAGGGCAATTTCTGTCAAATAAAGACATTGTAGTGTATCCTCATCTGTCGTATGCCCCTGATGTGGCATCATAGGACTTTTGGCTGTTTTCCAAATTTAAAATGATCATAAAAGGTAAAGGATTTGAACCCAAGAAGTCAGGACAGCACGACAAAAGACGCTGATGTAAAAGGATTTTTAGAACTGCTTCAGAAGCAAGAATTCTTGGATAAATGCGTGCTAAGAGAGGGAAACTAATGTGAGGGGGATTCAGCGCATCTTATCTTTTAGTGTAATAAATTTAAAAATCATTTATGTATTTACCATATTCTTCAGTCATAGCATGTGTTTAATCTAGACCAAAATACCATTCATTGTAAGATACATGATTGCTATGCCTTGGGAAAAATAATTATTCCTTAACTCATATAGTAAAAATCTTAATATATAATGCAGTCACGTTCATATTATTACACATAATTGTCTTCATGAGCCAGCTTTATTTAAGTGTCATTTAAATCTTTTATGGATTCAAAATTATTATATGATCCTAGTGACATACTTTTTCATATAAACTAGTTTTTATGGTCCTTATTAAGTCCCTTTAAATTTGAGACTTACTGAAAACACAAAATTTTCATCTGCATTTAACAGCTAGATAAACTTGTAGCTTTTTTTGTTTCTAATGAATTATATATCTGCTGATTCTTAACCAAAGAGTTTGACAGAAAAAACACTATAGTTGAGTGACAGACAGGCATTTATAGACAACAAGTTGCAGCCACTTTTTAAACTTGAAATCCTTGAAAATTTTGCAATGTAACTCAGGGCATGGTGAATACATATTTGGATTTTCCAAGCAGAACAATTTTCCTATGAAATTCCTTGCTTTTCTAGCCTCATAATGTGAAAATGGTTGTT